ACACAGCATCCCAACACTTTTCAGAATTGGGTTCATGCATGAAAGTTAACAATCAGGTATTACTTCTGTTATGAGCCCAACCTTACCTCTCTGCTCATAGAAACCACCCTCTGTGTGTGCTGGGCCTCTGTGCACAGCTGCGAGTCCTCCATCCTCTGTCTGTACATCTCGAACTCTGCCAGAGCCTGAAGACAACAAGCACAACAGTGTTACATAAAGACAAATATGGAAACATACAACTGCAATATAACACACCCACTCCTGTATTATATGTTAAGTTGATACTATCCAGTTCTTTACACCTAAATAATCCATATTAAAAAGCTACAACATTAAAACATACTATGGCTTAAAGATGACAACGTTGGAATATGTGAAGCAATACACAAACTAAGCAAAGCCTGGCTCGATACAACCAAACTAAATGAAGCCACGTGGTGCCCGTCAGCGCTGAATGACCTGTCTCTTCATGTGTTCGTGGAGCTCTACAGATTCCTCCAGACTGGCAAGCCGCCGCCTCAGATCCGCCTCATCCGCCATTTTAGTCTTGTACTGCATGATCTTGTCTCTGGTTTCTGTCACGATGTGTTGGACCTGAGCAAGAGGAAAGAAAGCAGCCAGTGATTTAAAACAGAACAGAACAGAACTTAAATTTAAAACAGAATTGAAAACAAAGTTCAGCTCAGGTTTAGGCAATTACGATTAAGTTGATTATGAGCAGGATTAAAACTGTTTTGTTCTTTTCCAAAGTGGAAAAATATCATAAATTTACAAACAGAGTAGCAGGAAATAAGACCTAAGGAGAAATATGTGAAAATAAATAAGAAAAAGGTGCCAGCACAACACCGTGGACTCCAAGAAATGTTGGCAGGGAGAGAAAACTCTCACTTTAAAAATGTAACACTCATTTAATTAATCTTGCAGACTACAGTGCACTAGAGCTTCCCTCTAAAAGAAATACCAGTGAAATTAAGTAGGTTTAAACCAGTTTGGTAAAGGCCAAGTTCACATCCTAAAATAAACTCTGCCCACCACTGAATATAACGGGTTTTGATTTGGTGCCAGACTTGTTCTGTGTCTTTGAAACCAGTTCAGAAAATTGTAACATTTAGAACATAAGGAAGCTGGTGGTAACCATCCACACCGATTACACTGAATCAGCTGAACCCTTTGAATTAAGTGGACAATCTGGGGGAACTCTGCTGTGCTTTTGTTATGTTCTTGTATGTGAGGTTGGGAAAAAAAAAGTACTGGTGATGTGATTAATCACGTAATTTCACAATACCTGTGGCACATTACGGCTGAACACATTAAGAAGAAACCCAATAAATGTGGATGTTTCTATAGACATCAGGGAACAGGGAACATCTGTTTTAAAGGGAACAGATTTGACCCAGATTAATACCTCTGGGAGATTTTTGGAGTCATGTGTTTAACAGTGAACATCATCAACCCTTAGGAAGCTATACCACAAACCACTGGAAACATCTGTACCTGCCATGGTGATTTAGCTGTTAAACGAATTAATCAGCTGAGAAGTCAGAACTTTGCATCTGGAAACATCTGTGGGTAACAGATGCTCTTAAGATTTAAGTTCATCTTTAGTTTAACTTTCCTAATCACCCCTCAGTCAAATTAAA